TACTGTGCCCATAAGCCAACCAGCAGCTTAATTATTTTCCAACCACATGTACAACGTCGTACTGCCAATTGTGACGACCTTCAATTCAGACTTTTCTTTTTTTAAAGAAAATTGCGACGACGACCTTCGGGCTTTCCATTTTGTTAAACAAAAATACAGTGAAGACATGGACAATTGTATACGCACCTCCAACATACTGTGAAATTAACGAAGTCGATCATCATAAACATTTTTTGTTGTCAATGTATATATAAGTTGTCTACCACTAAATGAATAACTATATTAGCCACAATAAAAAGCTATAAAAGAGAGCACATGTGTAAAGTCTATGACTTTGAATCTAAGTAAGCAGGGTTCTCAGAAGGGACCTAACCAGCTAATTTACACTCAGTTCATAACCTTCGTATTTTTCCACTAGCTATTACTTTGTTTCTATTCTAAGTTGAAGTACTTTGAGTTTGACAAAATTTATATAGAAACACACGGAAACATCTAAAATGATAAATTTAATTTATTAAACTCACCATTAAATATATTTGTGTAATCACTACTACGCAAAACATTTTCCTGTACGGTCGAATCGGATTTTCCTGTCTAGAGCAAATCGTCTGCGAAAATCGCTATTTTTACGTGCAGGTGGCGCAACCACACGCAAAAATCGGATTTTCGCGTGCGGGTGCTTATGTCGCCCGCACGCAAAAATAATAAAAAAACAAAATTGAAAAAATGAAACCCTAACCCTATCCGTCGTTGCCGTCGCCGGATCCGCCGCCTGCTCCCGTCGCGGTCGCCGGATCCGTGTGGCCGAGGGCTACCGCCGCCAGATACGCGCGTGGGGTGGCCGCCGCCACCGTCACGCCGCCAGATCCGCACAGGGGGTGGCCGCCGCCACCGTCGCGCAGCCGGATCTACGGGTGGGGTGGCCTCCGTTGGATCCGCTGCAGCCGTCGCGCGCCACCTCGTCGTCATCGCTGCTGTCACCGTAGAGGAGGAAGGCCGGGGAGGGCGGTGGCCACCAGATCAGCCCGGCGCCTCCTCGTCATCAGCCCGCCGTCCCGCTCGCGGTGAAAGAAAAAGAGGGGGAGATGAAGAGAGAAATGAGAGAGAGAGAGAGGGGAATGGGAGAAATTTTGGGGATGGGAGAGGAAGGAGTGGCCGCGCGGCCGGATTAAATGGTGGACGGGTATTTTCGTATGTGGGCCACTTAACACGTCCGCACGCGAAAATAAAGCTATTTTTGCGTGTGGACGTATTAAGTGGCCCGTACCAGAAAATTGTTTTTTCTGTGCCGGTAACTGCCCGGCGCCAGTCCCATACTCCCATGATTATCCTGTGCGATTTTTCGTATGGCCTATCTTGAAACAAAAGTGTCCCGCGTCCAGAAAAATGTTTTGCGTAGTAGTGAATATATTTATTGGTGCTAAAAAATATTGCTAGGTTTTCGTATAAACGTAGTCAAACTTTATGAAATTTTGACTTACGATAAAACTAAAACACCTTGCATTTTCAAAAACGGAGAGAGTAGCTACTAGCCAGCACAAAAAATCATATTAAAGCTCAGAAAATTCCTCGGACATATGCATGTGACCCTGACCGCATTAAACTGATATCAATAAATTAATTGACACAAGTACATATACGTATCAAATGTTGTGACTGCACGCAAGTCAACATAACTTCTCATTCATGTGGAACTATGTAATATTTAACACGAAGTTTCGTGGAAATAATGATCTAACTGAAAGTTCTAAGCAGAGGATTGATTCAAAACACACGCATATGCGTATTCGTTTATTTTTATTTTCAAATAATTGTCACTGTAGTCTCTGTTTGTTTAGAAAAAGAGGTTCAGCTTACTCACCTGTACTATTTCAGCCTAAGCTGTTTTTTTTCTCATTTTACCCCTAAATTATTTAAAATAGTTTAATTCACTGCTTATAACATTACTCTTCTTTATTTCTCTTTATTATACAACTCAAATTTTAAGCTGAAATTTCGTAGATCCATATATAGATGACACTATTATCAAAGTTCCAAACTATTTTGAAAAGGGAAAAAGTATGAATTACACCCCCAAACTATCGTGGTCGTCCGAATTACCCCCATAAACCCGAAAACCAATCATCGTTCACCCTGAACTTTCAATACTAGATAAATTACCCCCCTTGACCCAATCTAGAGCAGTTATGTCCAACGTGGCGCACGCGTGGCAATCCAGTCAGCATTTTATTTAATAAAAAATGTGGGACCCACCGGTCATACTCTTCTTCCCCTCTTCCCACCCAATCTCTCTCTTCTCTCTCTCGCTCTTCCTCTCTCTCGCGCGCGCAGTGCGCATGGCGAGGATGGGCGGTGGGCGTGGGCGGTCGGCGAGGACGGCGGCGCTCACAGGCGCCAACGAGCTGGTACTGGTAGCGCCGGCCTAAGAGGGAGAGGGAACGGTGATGTGGCGCGCGGCAGCGCCGCCGGAGAAGGAGAGGCGGCCGAGCGAGAGGAGGTCGGCGCCCTGGGCACCCGCAACGTCACCGTAGTAGACGCATGCCGGCTCCGACGCGCCGAGCTCCCACAGGCTCGATAGCACAGCGGTGTTCTCCTCGCAGACGTCCCCGATCTTGATGTAGCTGTAGTCGGCCGGCGGCAAGCCTCGGCCGGGCGCCCGTAGCTTCTCCCTCCACCTTGCTAGGGTCTTCGCGAGGTTCTCCTTTGGCAGAGGAGACTGGAGGCGGAGCTCGGGATAAGAATGCTGCCATGCTACCAACGTCGTGGGTGCCCAGGGCGCCGACCTCCTCTCACTCGGCCGCTTCTCCCTCTCCGGCGGCACCGCCGCCCGCCACATCGCCGTTCCCTCTTCCTCACCGGCCGACACTACCATTACCAGCTCGTCAGCGCCGGTGAGCGCCGCCGTCCACGTCGCCGTCCTTGCCGACCGCCCACGCCCACTGCCCGTCCTTGCCGTGCGCGCTGCGCGCGAGAGAGAAGAGAGAGAGGAAGAGGGGGAAAAGTGTGACAGGTGTGTCCCACATTTTTTATTAAATAAAATGCTAACTGGATTGCCATTCGTGCGCTACGTTGGACAAAACCGCTCTGGATTGGAGCGAGGGGGGTAATTTGTCCGGTATTGAGGTTTTCGGGTTTAGAGGGTAATTCGGACGACCGCAATAGTTCGGGGGGTAATTCATACCTTTTCCTTTGAAAAATTGTCATGCCTATTTGCTTGAAATTTTAAACCCCAATGTTTAAATCAGGCTCAGTGCTTCGAATATATATATATGTAAACAGTAAACAATTCTTAAAATGCCAAGAGATAAGTTGTAATATGCATCTATCAATTATACCAATTTCGTTGGTAAAGATGACTGATATAGAAAGAAAAAACCGAAATACGGTTCGGGAGTAAAGTGATTAGAATATAAAATAGGTTAAAGAAATAGTTTAAGTAGTTAAGCGAACCAATAAATAGTTCTGGACAGTAAAATGAACTCTTAATCTTCTTCTTTTTTCTAAGAGACAGTTACTTCTGTTCGTGCACCTCTCTTATATATTTATATACTCCATCTGTCTCTAAATATTTGACGCCGTTGACTTTTTTTAAATATGTTTGACCATTCGTCTTATCCAAAAAATTTAAGTAATTATTAATTATTTTCCTATCATTTGATTCATTGTTAAATATACTTTTACGCATACATATAGTTTTACATATTTCACAAAAGTTTTTGAATAAGACGAACGGTCAAATATGTGCTAAAAAGTCAACGGCGTTAAATATTTAGGGACGGAGGGAGTATATGGTAGTTGGTATTCCATCCGTTCAAAGATATTTTCGCTACATATATAGGAACCTTTTGAAAAGATTAATGATTATGATGCAAAGTCAAAAATATTCTCATTATAGAGGTAGGTTGGTAGTGTGATATATAGTAGATCGTTAGGGGTGGAAAGAGAAAATAATTGATAAAAGTCACGTAGATAGATAAGTCTATATTTTGAAATTGAAACGGAAGAAGTAATTAAGGACATCAGAGGTGAGATGTCGACATTTTTGTGTATATATGTACTGTTGGGATCGGATTGACCGGCAGAAGAGTAAATAGTGGGTGGTCTACATGTACAGTTTGGAGTGTTGGATGGATGAGCAGAAGCTAGCTGGCTGGCTGTTGCTTGACCGACCAAGCCATCTGGTCTGCAGGTATCCGTGGATGATGGGATTGCAAGGAAGATTCGTGACAACACAAATTAGCAGCTAGCTAGCTAGCCGGTTGTTGCCGTAGGTGACGGGGTCATGCATACATGCATCAATTTTATCTATATCGATGATGATTTTGCATTGAATTCATGCCGAGATCGAAAAATATCCCACAAGATCAAAAATATATATGTGGTCTCAACAGAAAGATCATTGTTTGTTTGTGTCCCCTGCAACGCAAGCAAATCATACATATATGCTTCACTAGCTAGGTAGCTGCCTTACTGAATAGAACAGACTGTTTAATTCACGCTAAAATTAAAAGTTTGGTTGAAATTGAAACAATGTGACAGAAAAGGGGTGTGTTTTCACGTTAAAATTGGAAATTTGGTTGAAATTGGAACGATGTGACAGAAAAGTTGGAATTTTATGTGTGTAGGAAATTTTTGATGTGATGGAAAAGTTGGAAGTTTGAAAAAAAAAGTTTGCGACTAAACACCGTGCAGGTACCCAACCCAACTTCCTCCTGTTCCTGTTCTTGTCCAACTCCAGCTAGCAACAGCAGCTATAAATTAGCTTCTTCATGCCTCCTTCATGCCTTCTCCCACGTAATTGGTGCCTCCCTCTTTCATTATATATAATCAATCGCACCTTAATTAATTACGTGTAGGTTTTCTGCTGTATTAAATTGTTATGTTTTCTGTTATATATGAAAGAAACAAAATTATTTGAGTCTCGCTCTTGCAGTGTACGATTAATAATCGACAGGAAAAAAAACTGCCACTTATCATCAAACAGTACACACATATGTATGTAATCTCTGAAGAATTAAACAAATCAATATACATTGATATATAATATTTCTGAAACAAATCAATATAATACATGGATCACGTACAGAGTACAGTATATATATGTGTGTGAGCTAGCTAGCTAGCTAGGTGTCATGTCGTCGTCATCTAACTACAACACTCTTAACTCCCCTGACAATAAAATTCATCACCAGTAAGTGACCATCTATAGCTAGATGCAAGCAAAACCAACAACTTGAATTAAAATTTTGTTTGATTTCTGGATCGATCCTAGATGCGGCCGGCAGTGCTCAGTCCATCCTCCTCACACATTAATTAACTTGTGAAAAAATGAAGCTAACTAATTAAAGCAGAGGGGGTGAACATATGCATGAGAGAGCCAGCTGATCGATGAGCTAACTAGCTATAGCCATATATATTTACTACTAGATGCAAGCATGCATGCAAGAATTAATATATGTACTACTATAAACTATATATATGTACACTACACACTGATATGATGATTAATTAATTAATCATGCTAGCATGCATATGCAGGGAGAGGATGATGATCGAGATTAATTTAGCTAGCAGGCGGCGGACTTGGCGAAAGGGCTGAACAAGTGCGGGGCGGTGGGCTTGTTGGTGCGGTCGGCGGCGGCGGTGGGGGAAGCTCCGGCGGCGGCGGCGGTGGCGAGGCGCTCGCAGGAGGGGCAGATGGAGAGCGTGGCGGCGGGGACGGGGAGGGTGGTGGCCATGAAGAAGCCGGCGGCGGTGGAGTGGGTCAGAGCCCTGAGCTGCTGGAGCTCACGATGGAGGCGTCGGTTCTCCTCCGTCAGCGTCTCGCAGCAGCGCTTCAGAAGCTCGCAATCCACCTCCGTCTGCTTCAGCTTCGTCCTGCACTTGACCGATCGAGCTTCTCTATATTAATTATCATGCATATTCTTCTTCAACTACTACTACTCCATGTGTAATATGTCTGTCTGTCTTGTATATATATGCATGCTTGCAAACGGGATGCCTAGGTTATACTACCTCCTATATAAATTACATTATATTAATTAATATATTAGTCAATAATTAGATAATTAGTATGTATTGGACCATCGGTAACTTTTGTTCTGAGTTCGCCATTGGATACATCCACTGCACTACTTGATTATTAGTTGTTGCACAAACATGCATGCATGCATATATATAATAAAAAGGGAGAGGGCCGGATACGGATTTTCTTTTTTGAAAATTAATATATTTACCAATTAATAAATTTGGTTGCAAAATGAAAAGACATGTGAATAAATGATTTTATATGGCAAAAAGGGGGAAAAAAAGAATAGACAAGTCGACAGAAGGAAGCTAAGGAAGTGGATAGAGAGTTAGAGGTGAATATGACCAACTAAACTAACCTGGCTCTTCTGTTTTGGAACCACACCTCAACTTGCCTTGGCCTCAGGTTTAGCTGCTTCGCCAAAGCAACCTTTTGCTTCTGCTCCAATCCATATTAAATCCCCAAACCAACAACAAAATCTTTATTAATTATTATACAGTGAAGAAAAAAAGAAACCGGCCTTCATTTTAAGTTTGCTAAGAAGAAATTGATTAGCTATTAATTTTTCTTTTGTAAATGAACGACTTTACTATGTTATGGGCTAGCTAATAAATTATTTAAGTTGAGTTACAAAACTTACAAGTAATTAATTAGTTAACCTCATGTGGAAAGAAAGGAAGGAGGAGTAGTTAGCAAGTGGGTTGATATGCGCATGCTTACAGGGTTGAGAGTGCTATGCTCCTTGAAGCGATCCTCCAGCAGAGCCGACTGCTCCTTGCTCAGCCTCAGCTTCTTCCGGCTGTTGCAGCCCTCGTCGTCGTCCGCCGCCGCAGCCGACGACGAGTAGAGCGCCCTCTCGTACTCGTATTCGTACTCCTCCTCTTCCGCCCGCACCACCTCCCTCTTCACCACCACCTGCGGCTGCCCCCCGCTCTCTGCCGGGAGCCTCAGCGTCAGCAGGGACGCCGCCGCCGACGACGGCGCTTCGTCTCTACTTTCTCTCTGCCGCCTGTGGCCGCCGGAGCCCAGGGAGAGGCCCAGAGCTAGACCCACGTCCTCATCATCTTGCGCCATCCACCACGCCAACAACCAAGCGCTCTCTCTCTCTCTCTCTCCCTCTCTCTTGTGTGCTAGCTCTAGCTCTAGAGAGAGATGAAGGTAGGTAGCTATAGAGACGATGTGAGATGAGGAAGAAGAGAAGAGGGAGAAGGGGGAGGGAGAATGGGGGCATGGAGGCCCATACATATAGGAGAGGAAGCAAGGCATCACATTAGAGAGCAGAGGAGACAAAACAAAACAAAATAAAAGAGACAAGTGGAATACCTACCTATTAGCGGAGTAGTGATGAGGCACAATAATGCACTTCTGACTTGCCAATGTTGACTAATAACAAAAAAAGTGCATGCTACTAGCATTTTGTTTTTTCATTTCTGCACATATATATATATATATATATATCCTATTATTAATTATATGGGATACACGCTTAGCTTCCTTCCATTCTTCTTATAGTATCTTGCTAATTAATTTGCTCCTAATCAACTACTCCTGCTTTATAGACAATGTATCCTATGCAGACAAGTTTTTCCGTGCACGTACGTACAGCAATTAACAAGTACCGCAAAAAAATTTACAAAAAATTGTACATGTATTTTTTTACATATAAAGTTTTATCTTCAAATTTATCATCATATAGAGAGAGAGAGAAACTATTATTCTGATGGACTTATAGTGTTAAAATTGACATTTTTTTTTGCTTTTTTTTACAGCTAAAATGTAATGAATTGAAATTTAAGATTTTACATGTAGCTGAAATACTATTGAAATTATATGCATATTTTTTTCTAGATTTTATTGTGACCGAAATATATAATAACTTCGCCGCAATTGCGAATACCAAGCAATTTACTAGCCACAAAATTAATTAGTATTTCACTGGATATTATGTACATATTGAGACTAGACTGTTGAATTTATACTATATTCTGCACGCTAGCCCTAGCTATTGGCCTCTTCTGTTCAATTTATTGTGCATCTTATTTTTCCCGGCCTCTAGCTACTGACTTAATTAATTTGTCAATAATAATACATATAGATTACTGCTAGCTACAATTTATTAACAAATCTCTTGTATGTAAATTAATTAAGAGTTGATTGGAATGTTACATGCATTTAGTTGGCTAGTGGAAAATTAGTGGAAATTATTCGTTTACATGCATGGAAGCTACCTAGAGGGTGGGTGTTATTGTGCCAACAACACTCATCCTCCACTCACCCAACCATTTACTAGTCACACACCTAATAAGCTCTATATGCATGGTGACTACTTCAAAGTAACTTTCTTTTCCTACTTATTATTAGGTTCCAACTTATTACCAAGAAAAGATTAATTGATCCATATATATTGTAGTATATATGTATGTATTGTTCCTGTTGTAGATAGGCACTTGCCATCTTTCCACACCATGTAATTGCTTTCCACATGGGACTTTGTTGAATAGGGCCAATATAATGCATGGAAAGGTCTATTTGACGTGGGACACGGGGTGATTAGCTCATATTGTAACTACCTTTTTAATGATGGGGGGTCCGAAGTCACATTTCATCCATCTCATCAATCCGCACTCTCCAATTGGTTTCTCTAGGTATGCCTGACTGATGTACAGTAGGAGGCTCTTTCCCAAATTCCAGATAACGAAAAGATTTTAGTTTACCTACCCCCAGCACATGCTTATGTATAAGCAATTATATATATATATATATATATATATATATATATATATATATATATATATATATATTCATCAATTTTTTTCTTCTTCTCTTTGCTAGCTTTTCATGATATAAGAGTGTCCAACTGTTCTTTTATACAATTGATCGAAGTTCTTTTTTTTCTTTTATTGCTTTAGATATAGTTTCGCAGTTGTACTATTACTGGATATTTCTGCCACAAACAACTAATGTGCTGCAAAATAGAAGTTCAGAAAACAAAGTTAAAGCTTCCTAGTGAAGTGGGTTAGCTTTGTGGCGACAAACAACCAATTAACATGCATGCATGTCCTAAATTAATTAAGGCCGCAATGGTTGCTATATATCCTACAGCGATGTCATTGTGCCATGACCATCAAATCCTCATTAATCAACCACTTTCAAACTTTTTAGATGAACAGTATCTGCTTAATACAGTACATTATTTCATCTTCAAGTTTGTTGGGATGATCATGAGACACTGACCGGACCCCATCATGTACATTGCTTGAAACACTAAGGGAGCGTTCAGCAGGAGGAGATTGTGAGTGAGTTTGTCTCGTTTCCCACGCTCACGTTTCCCGAACTACTAAACGGTGTGTTTTTTGCAAAAAGTTTCTATACGAAAGTTGCTTTAAAAAATCATATTAATCCATTTTTGAAATTTAAAATAATTAATACTCAACTAATCATGCTTTAATAGCTCACCTCGTTTTGCGTATCTTCCCAATCTTCTCAATCTCCTCCCACTCAAACTCAGCCTAAATATATACTCCATCCTAGCTAGAGGTGGACACTCTAACTGACATGCATGGGCCAATATATGCAGCTGGTCTGATTCCTCACTACTAGACCATGGCCTCATTGTCTTGGTTACATGAGGAAAAGAAGAAGGCATATAATCAACCATGACAATCACTTAGATATTGATGTCTCACAAGGAAATTAACAAACTGTTCTGCATGCACTGTGTGCTGGAAGTCGGCAGAACATATCATTTGTGCGTTTGGTCATGTCCCCTCACTTTTGGCAATAATGATCGGTGTAACTGAAGAGCCTGGGCCAAAGCTAATTTTCTGTTTTCCAGTTATTTATATACGAAGCAACAGCAACAAGCGTATTATGAAAGAGTTTGATAATTAAATAATAACTAGTTGATATCAAACGTGTTGTTGTAGTGAATATAGACAACCAAGAATAGCCAAGAACCGAACATATCAAATATGTTGGCTCAGCGCTTTTTTTTTCGAAACACATACTACATGCACATATATAGATTCATAGTGTGTGCCCACATTAATCATTATAAACGAAAACATGCACAATCTATTCGCACCTTCGAAAACTGTGCCGATATATTTTTAAATTAATGAAGTCATCATAACCACCTCGTTGTTGAGAGGTCACGAGTATCGTCTACCAGCTTAGCTTTTTAAAGTCGTGGCTTCACGCATATACTCTTTTATAGGAGTAACTGTATCTAGTGAATTGTAACCATATAAAAAATGGAGGGTATACTCGAGTAATTTTCTGGAAAATAACATATATGTACAAATTAATCTTGTTTTAATATTTACTGTTGACCGGACTTATATATAAATCATATAAATTAACATGGGTGGACACATACGTTGTTTCAGAGTAATAGAGTTTTTCTTCCAAGGAAGAGTACAAATTATTAGGGGATGTGCATGTGTGACCATGGATGTGCCATGTGGTTGATATATACTTCTATATGATCTAAAGTAGTATTCTTGGGGTTTGCCACTCAGACAGTACGTACTAATTACCACATGATGGCGACAATTAGTCATTGTGTCATATATACACCATGATATATGAAAATTTATTTATGGTGGTTGTACATTCTATATAGTTGACTAATATATAGGTCAATTATTATTATTTAGTAGTAGTAATTAGTAGTAATACTGATGACCAAGGTCATCCACGCGCCGCACACACATACAGTAGCTTAGGGACTAGTTTTAATGCATTGATTGGCTCCCGATTCACACGTATGCCACACGGCAAACATGTATACTATATAGTACCCCTATGTAATCCTAATTAATTAACCCCATGTTTATGTCTATCCTTATAGGAGTAGTTAATTAATAACCATATCTTGACATCTTGTCCTCTTCAAGTTGTTTAGTTAATAAAATCGTCATCAGCTTCAGCCGAATCTAGCAGATCAAAAAGAAATAATTAAATAAATATGGAGTATCTATCTAACAGCATGATTGCCACATAATTTAACTAGCTAGCTGAGTGTGTTCACAGTACGGCTCAAACCTGCATGCATGAACCAGCAAAGGCCTATTTTGGCGGGTAAATGAGTCGTTTCTTTTAATGTCATATATTTAAATGGAGTTCATGGAGTGTTGTCAAAAACAGAACAGGTGTATATGGCCCCACACTATCTCGACTTAATTAACTTCTTTACTTTGCACAAGTTTTACTTTTACATGAAGCAGCAACAGAGGCACCTACTACATACATAACTAGACCTCTAGTAAACTTCAGGTGGACGGTAATAGCATTCGTAGGCAAACCAACTTGAATGCTACCACGAAGTGAGTCAACAAAAATCTCTTCTCTCTCTCCACACTTTTTTTTCTCCGCCTTCTCTCTCCCTGCTATTTTTCCCCCTCCTCTTCTCTCCCACTTCTCCCTCACCACTTCTCTCCTCCTCACCAGTCACGTCTAGCCTCTCTCCCGCCCAATCCCTCTCTCAATCCCACTCCACTCCCAATACTAGCGATGGCAGGCGGCGGTGGTCTCGGGCGACGGCGGGAGTGGCAGCAACAACGTCAACGAGAGCAGCTGCGAGCTTGAATAGCGGTGGCAGCTACTCATGCGTGCGGTTCCCATTGCTGGCGGCGACGAGAGGGTGCAGATTCAGCAGCCCCTCCCCCTCCCCCTCCTGCATGGATCCCACCGCATCTCCGCCCCCACGCATGCGGATTCATCGTCGGTGGCGATATGAGGGGCAGATCGGGCAGCCCCTTCCCCTCCTATGGGGATCCCGCCGCCTCTCCGCCCCTCACGCACACGGATCCGTCATCGGATCGCGATTTGATGGCAGTGGCAGCTTTAGCACGAAAACGATGGCAACGAATTCTAGGGTTTCTGGATTTTCTAGATTTTTTATTTTTTTGTCAAAATTATTTTTTTAGATTTTCACAAGAGGTTGCACTACCCGTATGTAAAAATGTTGATTTTTGCATACACCTGGGTGTAGCCTTCTGTGAAAATCGAATTTGACCGTATGCAAAAATCGATTATGTAGTAATGATATTTTCTAATATAAAAGTTGGTATCGTTAGGTACCTATATATACATGTATTTCTAAAGTTGTTAATGCCAAAATTTGGTAAAATTCTTTAGTGGATTTGATTAAAGAAAGAGCACAGTCAACCGATGGAAACTTATGCAAAAGAGACCGAGTTCAAGAAGAAATCGTGAAGATGATGG